AGCATTTTCGTTTTTATCTTTAATAAAGAAGTAGCTTTGTATGTGTGTTCCACTCAGGAAGATCTTCACAATTGCTAGTATTTTCATATGATTGTTATATAAAGCCGTGTGTGGCTACAGTGGGTGGACATGGCTGCTGGGGGTGGGGTTGGCCTGCCAATGCACCTGGTCACTCCAGCCCTGGCTGACTTCTGGGCACAATGGGCATCGCTACCTCGGTGCACCGTCAGGCTGGCCGGAAGCTGCCACGGTGAGGACACATAGCTGGTAATGCCAGCTAATACAGGCATCATTGCACCCAGGCAGAATGGGGCGGTGGGGGGAGGGGGATGGTAAGATGGCTTATTAATTTACAGGGCGAGTTGCTCCCTTCTCCTCCCTTAATCATTTTATTGTATGTGCAAAATTCAATCTGAAAAATAACACAGTGGAATAAATCTATGACTTTTTGTCATTGCTGGCATTTTTTAAAGGTTTCCTTTGAGTTTTGCTATGAACCATTTTTAAAAATCACATGGGACCTGGATAAATTGGTTCTGAATAAGGGAGGTTTGGTTTACACAGCCAGTGCTCATTCTGGCATGGATAGTTCCCAAACTCTAGTCTTATTCCCCACTCTTTCTCCCCGGGGCTGTCCCTCCCCTAGCTCTCCCCACAGCCATCTGCCTTCCCTTGTGCAATTCCCAGCCATCTCCAACCACAGGGATGGTTCCCCCTGAGTTTCTATTCTTGGACCCATACTTGGGACCCACATTCTATACTTGTCCTCCTTGATTCTAGGCTGGGTTTTAGTCACCATGTGTCTGATGCAAAGATGGTGGATTGGCTGGGTGGATTCCATTCCTCCTTCTCTCCCTCCTTCTGTGAGTGTTTACTGAGCCCTTACTTAACACATGCAGGTCCTATGATGGGCCCTCCTCACAGGGGCGTAGGAGGGTGGTGGCCTGGGAAGGAAAGGACACAACCAGGTGTGCTTCCCTCTGTTGCTGGAGTCCAGGTCCCAGATCCAGCAGTCTGAGGTCCCTAGTGAGTTGTACCAGGGACAGCCTACATGATGCATGCCACCTGGCTTTGGACGAGGGTTCCTGCAGGGCCCTTGGGAGAAGCTTTTGATCAGAATCAGCTCAGAGCTGGTCAGTAGTACCAGAAGCCACCAGGATTGAAAGGGAGGATTTGAATTATAGCCCTGGAAATTGCATAGGGCCACCTCATGGCAGAGAGGCCTGAGGAGGGGAGCCTGAAGGACACAGAGCAAGCTGGACAAGGGCCAGGCAGGAGGGGTTGGGGATGGGGCTGGTCAGGTGCTGCACTGATATCTAGTGTGGTGGCGTCTGAGGCCTCCTGGTTAGGGAAACCAGGAGGCACAGTGGCTTGAGCAGGTCCTTTCAAAGGAGCGATGGATGAAAAGTAGACAGAGTGAGTACACACGTTTTTAAAAGGATAAAAAGGAAGTGGCAAAGCGAAGTATTTGGAGGGACTTGGGTAGTCACTTTCTGTGTAAGAGCCTTCCAGGGCCTTCCAGATAAATCCGTCCCTTAGACTTTCAGGTCTTAGATTGAAATCTTTTATCCACCGTGAGTTATGTTTTGTAAGTGGTGAGTGATGCAGGACCAGTTTGAGTCTTTTATACGTGGCCACCCAGTTCTCCCAGCACAAAGGACATGACACTTCAGACTTTAACCTTACAAAAGCCACCTGTGTAACCTGATTGTATGTACCTTCCTATCAATCTGAAGAAAATCTGTCCCTCTTGCTGGTCCTTCTTCCCCTCCCCCATTCCATTAGTTTCCCTGTGACTGACATTCTGTATATAATCCCTGCAGTGTAAGCTGCACTTGTCTCTGGGGCACACTAAGGGGGTGTGAAGGGCACTGTCCCAGGCCTGGAAAGAGGAGGATGTGGGGGCTTCTTTTGATATGTCTTGATGAGCCCCTGTGCCTCTGGTACCATATGCCAACACCAATTCAGTGCCCGATGAAAACCAATGGGGGGTCAGTCAGTACTATAATTTTGAGAAAAACCTACAATTTTACATATCATTGTAGGAGTATCTAACAACACTTTAATGACATTCTCTGCATTTTTTATTATTTTTTCCTTTTTTGATGTGTGTCTGGGACAGATGTATTTGCTGCGTTCACTGCTTGCCTTCATGTCCTCCCATCTCTCCCATGGGACAAAGGTAGCAGCAACCTTTTTCGGTAACCTTTTCACTGCTTGTGTTGTAACCCTTCCTTTCGGTTCAGCATGAACCTTTCCTCTTGTCACCGCACCTTGTCTTTGATTGCACTCGTGTCCACAGAGATTCGTTGCCATTGTATATGTTTTTGTGTGGAGACTGTGCACGTTTTGGGTGCGCCTCCTTGTGTTTTCTTCACAGAACTGTTGTGCCAAATCTTTCCAAAAAGTATTTTCTTCCCGATTGTTTCTTTGAATGAAGTTGCAACCAGAGGCTTCCTTTCCTGTAAAGTCACGTACAGAATTGTCTGTTGCAATATCAACGTTGAAGAAAATTGCCAGCGGCTAACACCAAGGTGACAGGAATCCTTTCTCAGGCACTCATCAAGCGTGTCAACACCTGCTTTAGAAATATTACAAACACGGATTACATCAGGCTTGTTATCTGGCACCTTCCTAGGATCATGCTGTGTAGAAAGCACTGTAACTACCTTTCCTGTCCTTGGAACATAACTTCCTAATGTCACATAGGGAGAGAAGGCCAATCTTTCTGTTCCAGAGGGAGAACTTTTCATCATGTGCTGGCCTGAGTTCTAGAGGCAAATACCTTTTATTGCTGCCAACAGTAGTAATTGCAGTTACATTCTTTTGAAGCAGGTCAAAAGCCAGGGTGACGGAGGTAAATTTTCTGTCTATGGTAATATTTCTACTAAACTGATCGAAATGACAGTTCTGAACCAGTCTTTTTACAATCTCAGAGCCAATTCTGTAATGCCTTGGAAGGTTCGCTGATTTCCTAGCATATGGCTTCACTGCAAAACATGGTTTAAGGAAGAGTCACAGAAAAGATTCACTGCAATCCTATACTTCCCAGGTATAGTTGGCATGTAAAGTCTGAATGCACAGCACCCATGGAGAGACACCAGTCTTCATCAACAGTGACAGATTCATGAGGATTGTAATAGAGGGAGAGCTTATTTGTAACCATATTCCAGAGCCCTCGAACTGGAGCAAATGCATCACACTGTCTGGGAGCCTCACACGTGGCAGCAGCGTCAAAACACAGACATTTCAGTAGGAGTCACATTCTGGGTTCTGAAAACAGCACAGCAAACCAGAAAATTCTCACTGAAAAAATCTCAGAGATCGTCTTTATTTTGCCAGCACACACCACTGTTTCGAAGAATTCCAATTAATCCTAATATTTCTTCTTTGACAAAATCGCCAGAATTTTGGATGAATAATTCCTTACATAACTCTTGGATTAGACGTAGTTTCTGGTTTGTAACCTTGATAATCACATCCACAGCTGCATTACCAATAAATAGTTGGAAAGCAGCCAGTAGAGTTTTGGTTTCTGTGCCTGATCCTACCCCTGGTTGAGTCTTCATAATATTAGCGGATTGTCTTCTCCCTGATCCTTTATCGGCTGTGAGGTCCATATTCCGATGGTGCCGCCATCTGAGCTGTAGGCCACTCTTTTTGCAACTGGGCGTGGTTGTCTTCTCTTGGGCTCTATAGTTGGCATTTCGTCTTCTCCACTGTCACCGTCTTTTTCTTCCTCTTCACCCTTTTCCTTAAAATGAATAATTTCACCTTCCACCTCTGCACATTCTTCTTGTTCACTGTCTACACCAGTGAAAATGTTTTCATCATTTCCTTAAAAATCTGACACTATCAGTTTTTCCTCCATCTCAGCTTTGGACAAATTATACTACCTCTTGACATATCCGTGAAAAAAGGTAAGTCACGGCTTGACATAAATGGATTTATAGAATTAGCAGATACATTTTCAGGCATACACACCTTCATCTTCACCCAATGCAAAGACACTGCTTACCAACTTCACTATGAAAAACTTAGAAAAAAAAAATAGAACACCATTTTTTTTTCCCAGAAAAGAGACCACTGTCTGTAAGAAAAGTGTCAAGAACTGCTGATCCAAGGGTGCTGACCTGTGAAGTGTCACGGACGGGTGGGTGAGGGTCTGATAACAAAAGTCATAAATGGTGAACCTGCACTTCCCTGTATAAACTAATAGACAACAACAAAATCCTGGTGGGGTCAGTTCCTGGCCACCCATTGGTCAGTGACGTAACGGTTACGCTATGTACTCTAAGTTAAAAGTGAATGAGAGAAAAAAAGGAAAAAAAAAAGTGAATAGTAAGTTGGGATTTAGTATGTGTAGTCTAAGCAAAATGCTGCATGTTGAATTAGTCAGACTGTTTCATCAGTGGACATTAAACGTCCTTATGGTTAAGCCTTATAAGCTTTCAAAGGCCCAAAGAAATGGTTCAGACATGAAAAAAATTAGACTCCGAAATACTAAAAGAAAACTGAATGAATGGTGAAATATCTAAAGGACATAACAATAGGCCCCTCACGGGTCTGATTTTTTGAAATTATTTTAAATCGTGCAATATGGGGTGCAGTATATTGATATGCCTCCTACAGGAGGAGTAAGGATGCCTGTTCTTGAAAGGGGACTGTCTAATTTTTCTGGCATCTGGTGCCTTTCTCTCCGGCAAGGCCCGAGCTCTATTTTCACACCCATCCCCAGCAGTGGTGTGATTCATTTCTGCATGCCTGTGTCCGGCCAGGTTCCAGGTACATGTGCTTAATCAAAAATAGTTTGAGATTGTCCAGCTCTTTGTCTTCCTCACCTGTGACTGGATTTTCTGAGAATGTCCTGTCCCAAAGGGCTTAGGAACATAGACTTTTTAAATACTGGGCTCACTTTCTGGCGCTTCCCGAGAGCCTCATGGTGGTCAGTGGTTGGGGGCCTCTTCACTCGGACGTCACCATGTGCTCTTCCTTCCCAGGCAGATGCGTCCCCCAATGATGCTGACTCCCTCCTGAGAAGCGGGACCACGTGGCGTAAGAAAGGCCTTCTCTGAGGTAACAGGGCAGGGTCATCCCAGCCCCCCTCCCCCAGCCTTTTCTCATAAATAGCTGTGACCTGCAAAATGGCAGGTCCCTGTGCGGTGTCTGAACTCACGCCCATTCCAGCACGTTCCAGGCCTTGCTGTCCATTTTCATTCCGATTTTACCTTAAGCTCAAATCCTTGATTTCTGCTGGAGAGAACACTGCTGGCCTCCTCCCAGGTGCGCTCTGAGCACCACCTGTGAGCTCTCTGTGCCAGCTGAGCCTGCCCTTTCCCAGCCCCACCTTAGTGAGTCAGGCCCAGGCCGGCCTCTTTCTCTCCTCTGCCCCCGAGTGCAGAGTCGTGTCTGCCCCTTCAGACATGCTCCTTCCTGCCTGTCGGGTCACTGCTGGCTGGCCCACCCCCTCAGCCTCTCTCTCATGGACCCCAGAGGCAGCCTGCTTGCCTGCCTCCCTTGGTCTCTACTCTGTATTTCACACAGATGCCAAAACATCTGCAGACAAAATAAAGCTCCGACACCCCGCCCTATGCCTTAAAATCTTTAAGCAATTCTCTGCCACCTGCCAGTTACAGTCCCGGCTCCTCAGCGAGCCTCTTCATGTTGTGAGCACGTGCTTAAAGATTTTAAGGCATAGGGCGGGTCGGGGCTGGCCGCACCGTGGGCCTTCTGCGTATGTGCGGCCCCACGGGGTGGTGCTGACTTTGGTTGGCAGTGTGTGTGGCTTCAGTCTCAGGAGCATCATTTCCCACTTTTCCTCTAGATGTCCTCTTTCCTGTAGATCATGTGACCCCAATGCCCATGCTGAGGCTCAGTGCTGGCCTCTTGGTCCAGGGGCCTCGGGGCTCAGGCAGACTCAGAATGGCCACTGCTAAGGGGACAGCAGTGGCCTTTCTCCAGAACAGTTCTGGGGCAGGGGTAAGTCTGGACCCAGGAGGTGCGGCCCTTTCCTTTGCAGTCTGGTAGAGTAGGATGGTGCCTGAGATCAGCTGGCTCCTTCCTTCCACCTTGTTCAGGTGGGGAAACTGAGCCTCAGGGAAGAGTCATGTCCAAGGGCACCCTGGAGTAGAGCCGGCCAACCTTTGACCTATGATTAAACATTGCTTGTCCAGGATTAATTTGGGATTATATCTTGGGACACATACTCTGTAAAATTCAGTCTGGAGATCTCCCTTTTCTTCTCTCTTCCCTCATGATCAAACAAGCCAGATCTTGCAACTAAATGAATTAGCAGCTGGCAGTGTTCAGCTGATTTCGTAATGTCTTTATTTTGTTGATGATGAACTAATGCAAGTAACTGATTGGCCTGGAACTGATGATTGGGAAACATTTTAACCCTTTCCTTTCTTCCTCTCCATGATAAAGACTTAGAACTCATTTGCACAGCAGAGCTCGTCTGCTTGGCTGCAAGGCTTCAGAGCTGTCCATCTTATTTAATCATCTGAATACAGTTTAAAAGTGTATGTGGTAATAATAGTAGCAATCTAGACTAATTTGAGAGAAGGCCAATGTATGGGAACAGGATCAGAATTACAGGGTATTTGGAGAATGCAGTTGTGCTGCTCTGAGGTAGGTTTCAAGGCATGAGCCAGGCTTAAGGATCAGAAACCTGATACTAGGGGTGAAGGGAAGAGAATATGGATGGGTGTGTCTGGCACGCTTAGAATATCTTTCCATTCCTGCGTTTGTTTTAGAAAGATATTCTAGCACTTCATGCCTTTTAATACACCTTAAATACGTTTTCCACTTACTCAAACAATCACATCTTTAGGGTGTAAATGAGTGTTGTGTTAAAATATTTTGTTTGCGTATTTACTTTTATCCTAAATGCTATACTATTTTAGTGACTGTGCTTTGTAGATAAAGCAATGGGTATGTTCTCTTCCTAGAATTGTAGTCATTGGGCAAATATCTAATTTGCTTATTCCCCTTGCCAAGGATGGGGAGGAAGCTTTCTGTAACTAAATTAGTAAGTTGACTATGTAGTCTTGACACTGACCAGTATCTGTGTTGATATGGCCTTTTAAGCCACGCAGAGGAGCTGTGGACTTTTCTCTCTTTTTTCTTTTGTGATTAGATTCATCCAATGCTCATTTTAGAAAATATAGAAAGTCCCAGACAAGGGGAAAACCACCAAATCACAAGAACCAACCTAAGTTTAGCATATTGTTGCAATTTATTTCAGTCTGTGCATGCATTTCTATGTGCCCGTAGCCTACCATACAAACAGTTTTGTATCTCACATCATAAAATGAAGGCAAGACCTTGGAGCTGACCTGGAAGGGTGGAAGGCATCTGCCAGTGGGTGCTGGCCGCAGGATTCAGGGGCCAAGGTCCTTTGCTTGGATGTATCTGAGGAATAAATCCACACAAGCAAGGGGAAGCTGGTTTAGGGCTAGTGAATAGTCTACTTTGGATGTAGACTAGATTTGGGGGAAATTTAAGTAGAATGCAAGACTGGAAATGTATATTGAGACAGGTGATGAAAAGTTTTTCTGATTGTTAATTGTCGCATTTGTCCCTAATCCTGTGAAAAATCTCCATCCCTATTCCCTGGGCCTGGTATTTTCTAACCAGAAGCCAAACATGATCGCATGAATGTTGTGTAAAAATTAATTCATCATTTTGACTTGAAGTTGAGGGTGGGGACAGGAGGGGTGTCCATACATATGTTTAGTTGCAGACTTTTGCTGGAATAGTAACATTTTTATTTTTGTCTTCTGTTCTGCAGGAGAATATGAAAGTGTTACTCGGACTTTTCTGTTTCATAGCTCTACTGATTTTTTCTCTGGAGGCTGGTAAGCATTTCCTTGTGTTCTTATCTGCTAAGAAAATCTATTACTTAGGAAACATGAAGCATCTTCCCTAACAGAGTCAATTTTCTTACCTGTTGCTGTTGAATCCCAGGATACAGAGCCTTCTGGTCATGGACCTGTACTGCTGGAAGTTGCTTTCAGCATTTTCATTCTTCATTCCCTCACATAACAGACTGGGGAACGCTAAGAGACCAAGGTTATCACTTGGCGCCTGTAGCACAGTGGTTACGCCACCAGCCACATACACCGAGGGTGGTGGATTCAAACCCAGCCCGGGCCAGCTAAAAACAACAATGACAACTGCAATAAAAAATAGCCGGGCATTGTGACAGGC